CCCAGTGGGCCACTAGAGCCACATGTACCTGTGCAACAAAAATGCACAGAAGTGTAGTATCAGTACGAAAACAACGTGTACTCAATGAGTATCCCGTCTAATCTCGAAGAAGTAGAGACGAGATGGTCGACTTCGACACTTACTAGTGATCCAATAATGATGTCAATAATACATTAAATCGTGGATTTATATAAGCATGATTTTAATCCAATAGAAGGAAATAAGTAAACAATTAATCCTTTTTATAGGAAACTTCCAAAATTCCTTTTCATTATTATCCAAATATTCTCAAGCCATGAAGAGGCAATAAAAACTTTAATAAGTTCAAAACAGCAATACAAGCATGCGCAAATCATGCCGAGGAGTATGGCCCGCTCCAACAGAAAATAAATTATGCACTGCCGAGGATCGAACGGCGCGAACCATAGATGCATCTATTTAACCTGCCGAGGCGTTCGGCCCGTTCCAAAAATAAACACACATAGACAATCAATCAAGAAGTTCACACGGAGCAATTATCCAAAGAAAACAAATCCTCTTTTAACCACTTAAGAAAGATGAAGTTTTATCTGTTTAGAAATTCATTTAGGAATTCGATATGATTTAAGCAATTCAAGCTGTCAATAAGTTTATGATTAATCCAAGTATAGCATGCTTTTGGGTCCTAAACTAGCCGGACAGTAGCATAATAGTAACTACGCACGGACTCTCGTCACCTCGTGCGTACGTAGCCCCAATAAATAGGAGCACATAACCAATTATTTTACTATGGGGACAATTCCCTCATACAAGGTTAGAAAGGAGACTCACCTCGCTCCGAAGATCCATAACCGGCATTCCACGCCCTTGCGAAGACTCTAATTGATGCACAACGCTCCAAAACTAGCCAATGATTACGCAAATCCATTAATATATGCTCAATTATTCATTACAATCTAATTTATAGCAATTCCTAACCCCGATCGTAAAGTTGACAAAAACGCCCTCGGTCCCACGTGCCCGGATTTTCAAAATTTTCGAAGAATAAGTTTACCCATAGCTTCACGAACTCAAATATATAATTTTCTCTAAATTTCATATCCAAAATCGTGGTCAAAATCCAAGAATACTAATTTTCTAGATTTTTTCTCAAACCCCAAGCTTTCTACTAATTCACATGCTAAAATCCATACAAAATCAATATTTTAACTCAAGATAGGTGGGGTTAGCTTACCTTGTCGATGATGATGAAACACCCCACTTAAAGCTCTCCAAAATCGCCCATACCAAGAGAAAAATGGGTGAAATAAACTCAAACCCCGATTTTAAAACACCCTTCTGCCTCCAGCAATTTCCGCATCTGCGATCCTATGACCGCTTCTGCAGTTCCGCAGGTGCGGCCACTCTACCGCATCTACGGTCCTTCCCAGGCCCCCTTATTTCCGCTTCTGCGACTTCTCCACCGCAGGTGCGGTTCCGCATCTGCGGAAAAATGACCGCATCTGTGGTCCCTTCACTGACATCCCAAAACCGCATCTGCGGTTAAATTTCTCGCTTCTGCATTGAACCCTCCGCAGAAGCGGTTATACCAGCAACCAAACCCCTTCAGCTATCCAAAATTGCAAATTTCGATCCGTTAACTATCCGAAATCCACCCGAGGCCCCCGGGACCCCAACCAATCATACCAACTAGTTCCAAAACACATTATGGACTTGCTCGAGGCCTCAAATCACATCAAACAACGCTAATATCATGAATCGACCTCCAATCCAAGTTTAATGAACTTTAGAATTTCAAACTTCTATTTTCGATGTTTAAACATATCAAATCACGTCCGATTGACTTCAAATTTTGCACGCAAGTCATATTCGACATCACGGACCTACTCCAACTTCCGAAATTGAATTCCGACCCCGATATCGAAAAGTCCACTTCCGGTCAAACTTCTTAAAAACCTTCAAATTCTATCTTTACCCAAATGGCTCCAAAATGACCTACGAACCTCCGAATTAACTTCCGATCGCGCTCCCAAATCCAGAATCACCATACAGAGCTCTTCACAGACTCGGAATCCCAAATGGACATCAAATACACTGAAATGCACTTCAAGCCAAACTTATGAAATTTCTTCTAAAATGCTAACTTCCACAATAGGCGTCAAAACGCTCCCGGATTATTCAAACCCGAACCGGGCATACGCCCAAGTCCGAAATCACCATACGAACTTGCTGGAACCTTCAGATCCCGATTCCGAGGTCGTTTACTCAAAAATCCCGTCCTAGTTAATTCTTTCAACTTTAAGCTTCCGAAATGAGAATTCTCTTCCCAAATCAACTCTGAACTTCCCGAAACTCAATTCCGACCACGCGCACAAGTCATAATACCTGAAGTGAAGCTGCTCACGGCCTCAAACTGCTGAACGGCGCTCTAGAACTCTAAACGACCGGTCGGGTCGTTACAATCAACAACAACTACTACTATGCAGACCTTACTCCTACCTAGCGAGGTAGAAAGATTATTTCCAATAGGAGGTAAAACCATCTATATTTTAATAATTTATTTTCCCGGACGATAATTTCCATTGGTACATCCGATATTCCTTGTAAAGATTAGTCAATTTTTGTGTTGATCTTACAATTATAAAATCAACAATAATTTTACACAATTAGTAAATAACTGTCTCACTTGACTATGTCACCTTTGTACACTTGGCTAAAAGCCAACTTACTTTTATTTCCTTTTATTTTAGTTTGTCAAGTAAACATTAATTTCAGATCATGCTGCAATCAACTAATTTTTTTGCCATTTATTTTTTCAAGTAAACATTATCTTATATTGCGATACTCCTTTAATCATGGTCTTCATCAACATATGAGACATTAATGAACAAACTCCACAGAATTAATAGGATTAACTACGAAGATTATTGCCACCTAAACCACTATTTCCTTCATGATCAATGGAGTATGTCTTCAGTCCTTTGCATACACAAACTCCATCAACACAATAACAACTTGGAAACACATTCTTACGTTCCAGTTGACAATCTTGTGTTGTCTTACATGTCCTTCGACTTGTCACCATATCTGAAAATCACAAAATTCGTTAGTATCTTACTTAGACAAAATTCCTAGCTATAAAACCTAATTAAATAAATTGTCGAATGCTGGGGCGGAGCTAGCATTGAGGGAACAGGTTCGATCGAACCCAATAATTTTAGTTCAAGCTTTATATATGTCTTAAATAATTCATTTAATATGTAAAAATTATTAATTTAGAACCCAGTAACTTCAAAGCGTATTCAAAACTCGTAAACTTTAAATTTTGGCTCCATCTCTGTTCGAAAAAAAGAGGAAAAAAGAAATAGACTTACCACATGAAACGATCAAGAAGATAACCAAAAAGAACACAGTCATCGAAGCCTTGGCCATATTTTGTAGCAAAAGAAAGACTTTATGAATTTTACATGAGTTTTTTATAATGTATATACAACATTATATAATATCTCGTTTATTAAGTACCTACCAAAAAGAAAGTCAATATGAATTTATTATCAGTTAGGAATTGGATTCTCCAAATCTTGAAATTTGGTTGGTGGATCATATAATTCTTTGTTAAGGTCAGTCAAAGACAGCTCAGTTAATTTTGTCAGTTTGTCAAATTTACAAACCAGATCAAACCAACTTAAATTTTTTTAGAGAAAACTATCCAGTTTGGTCTTTCAGAGCAAAAATACTATAAGTATTAGCCAATTTATAAAATACTAACAATATTATTCAATTACTCGTAACCTGCTACAAATATTAGCCCAAAATCCTTTTTGTGGATAACACTTCTGTGCTTTTGTGAAGAAGATTCATTAAAGTCATTGAAGAATCTTGGAGCTTGGGTTAAAAATATTAAATTTGTGTAGTTTATTGTTGAATTATGTTGGTAATATTTTAATGAGTTCGAATCTCAATTTTGGAACGACTTGGTGGAGATTTGCGGTGGTTTAAATTGAAAATTCAAAGTAGAAGATGAGATGTGTATCACACTGTGTATTTTTCGTGTATTACTTATGTATCACATATGTATCAAATGTGTATCCCCTATATATATATATATATATATATATATATATATATATATATATATATATATATATATATATATATGTATCCAATTGTGAGATACGTGTGTCATAGAGAAAACTTTAAACTCGATTGCTATTACGAATTTTTACTCCAAATCAATCCAGATCACCTTCAATCATCCTCAGATTTTGTATATTGCCCCAGTTATTTATTAATAACGGATTTGAACTATACTCATTCACTTACTTTTCCTAGAAAGTCTTTATTAGTGATAAAGCCTCAGTCCACAATCCAGATCTTGGTTGATTTCAACGCTAGTGGGCCTCTCCTTATTGGGCCAGTTTTATTTTTACACATTCTAGGACCGGCCCTTGTCCGGATTGGTTTACCATTTCAATTTTAGCCACATTTACATGTACATATAAATAGAGTTAGTTTGACTCTATTTTTAATTAATGGATCAAAACTCTTATTTACACTGTCGTCTATTATCTCTCTTCTCTCACCGACTCAGACGGTTAGGGTTTAGACTTGATCCATTCTCAAATCACCATTGATTTCGTAGCTTAACATGGTATCAGAGCATCGATCCGAGTTATCCGCAGCGTTCATCGTGATCCCTTTGGTGTAGTTTCTTCGATTCCGCTGGTCACGACTTCTCTTCGACATTTTGACGGTTCAGACAAGGTTTTGGGGTTTTCTGCAAATTTCGTCTGTGGAAGATCGGATTTTTCTTCACTTGAGTTCAATCAAGGAATTTCGGTAACATCTCAACAGTTCCTCACATCATTTGATAGCATGTTCATTTTTGTGCCCTAATTTTGAAAAACTGTTCATCTCTGTGTTTGGTTGTATGTGTGACTAATGAGAAGTTTTAGGTTTGAGACTCTACTGTATATGACAAACAGTTTCAATCTATATCGTTGAATTTTTGAATTTTGTACATGGCAGACTCAACTTCTACACCTACCGAAGTTCCCTCTTCTACATCTACCCAAGTTCAACTTAGCACTTCTCTTGATCCTTCTCATCCATTGTATGTGCATGCATCAGATAATCCGGGAGTTACACTGGTAACTGTCCCTTTTTCTGGCATTGGATATGTGTCTTGGAGAAAAAATATTCTTATTGCTCTCTCTACTAAGAACAAGGCTGGGATGATTAATGGAAGAATCAACCAGCCGTCTCCTGACTCTCCTATATATGATCATTGGCTAAGATGCAATGACATGGTCTTTGCATGGTTGAGTAATTCAGTGTCTAGGGATATTGCTGACAGTGTTCTTTACTGTGATACTGCAGGAGATCTTTGGAAAGATCTAGAGGAGAGATATGGTCAATCTAATGCCAGTAGGTACTACCAAATTCAGAGAGAAATTGGAGGAGTCTCTCAGGGTTCTAGTGACATTGCTAGTTATTACACTAGGTTAAGAAAATTGTGGGATGAGTTAAAAACTGCTTCATTTGGACCAACTTGTACCTGTGGAGCAGAACCACAGTGCAGTTAAGGACAAAAGGTTATTCATTTCTTACTGGGTTAAATGAAACATACTCTAATGTTAGAAGTAACATCCTTATAATGATTCCTGTACCCTCCTTGAGTAAAGCCTATTCAATGTTGTTGCATGATGAGAGTCAAAGGGAGATTCAGGTTTCAGGATCTTCATTTCTATCTGAATCAACCTCCTTTCATGCCAAATCCTCTCCTGTCCAAAACACTTCAGCAATCAATTCTTATTCTCAGAAGATCAATTTTGAGAACAAAAGGTCCCACATTGTGTGCAAATATTGTAGAAAGCCAGGTCATTATGTTGACAAGTGTTATAGGCTGCATGGATTCCCTAGTGACTTCAAATTCACCAAGGGGCAGAAGACTGTGGCTTGTGTTCAGCTTGGTGATCCTAAAACTGATTCCTTCTCAGCTCCTGAGGTCCTACCTGGAAGTCCAGTTCATGGTTTTAGTAAAGAACAGTATCAACCTCATGAGTCTCTTCCAACAGTCTCAAATTTCTGCTGCAAATCAGGATCCCAATATTGCTTCTTCTGCTATGGGAGCATTTGCAGGTGTGTTCTGTAGTTTTACTGTATATTCTATTGCTTTATGCTGTGTTTCTCAATTAAAGGTAAACACTTGGATTCTAGATTCAGGAGCTACAAACCATATGACCCCACATAAAGAACTCCTACACAATATTCAACCATTACCTTCCCCTTACTTGATAACACTACCAAATGGTTACAAAGTAAAAGTCAATTGCACTGGTTCTTTAAAACTGTGTAATGATCTAATTCTAGCAAATGTGCTTTTAGTTCCTTCTTTTCAATTCAATTTGATTTCTGTGCCACAACTAGTTTACCAATTTCTGTGTACAACCCTCTTCACCAATATCTCTTGTTGTATACAGGCCCCTTCTCTGAAGAGGCCACTGGAAATTGGTAGGGCTACCAATGAGTTATTTATCATTCATTCAGATCTCATTGTTGGACAATCTGATTTAAATACCATATCGGCTATATCTTCTTCTCTTAAATGTGGTTACAGTGCTTGTACAACTGCTTGTAATCATGTTTCTTCTATTAATAAAACTGATCTTTTCTGGCATCAAAGATTAGGGCATATGCCATTTCATAGAATGAAATCTATCTCTGTTCTTTCTGATAAGTTGTCTTCAAAACAGTCCTTTATTTGTCATGTTTGTCCATTAGCTAGACAACAAAGACTCTCATTTCATGATAGCACTATCAAGTCTACTCACTCTTTCCAACTTGTACATATTGATCTATGGGGCCCTTATCATACAAAAACATATAATGGTTTTAGATATTTCTTGACTATTGTTGATGATTTCTCAAGAGTAACCTGGACACACTTACTTTCTTGCAAAAGTAATGCTTTTTCCATTATCAAAGCTTTTGTTTCCGTGGCCCGGGTTCATTTCAATTCTAAAGTTCAAATAATTAGATCTAATAATGCATTTGAGCTAGGCTCCAGTGCACAAATTTCTTCCTATTTTGCCGATTCTGGGATTCTTCACCAAACCACAATTCCCCGTACTCCTCAACAAAATGGAGTTGTTGAGAGAAAACACAAGCATCTCTTAGAAACATCAAGAACCCTTTTATTTCAATCTAAACTACCTGTCAAATATTGGGGTTCTTACTGCCACCTATTTGATAAATAGGTTTCCCTCTAGTGTGTTACACAATATGTCCCCTTTTGAAAAACTCCATGGCCAATCTCCTACATGCTCTCACCTTAGAACCTTTGGTGTTCTTTGTTTTGCTACATTACCAAAGGTGGGTAGGGATAAATTTCAACCTAGAGCATCTCCTTGTGTTTTCTTAGGTTACCCTTGAGGAAAGAAAGGGTATAAGTTGCTCAATCTTACATCTCATTCCATTTTATTTTCTAGAGATGTCATTTTCCATGAACATATCTTCCATTATCATTCTCCTTCTCCTTCTTCTGTTTTTCCAACTACTTCTGATCCTTTCACAAACATTTCTCCTAATGCTACACCCAATATTTCTTCTATTTCTCCTGATGATACAACTTCTGCCTCACCACCTGTTCAGGCTGTTCAATCTACTTCACCAGTAGCTGCTTCTTCTTATGCTCCTCCTCCCAGATTTCCTTCTTGTTCTCATATCTCTTCTATTGTTTCTCCTATTGTGTCACATAGGAGATCCACTAGAGATTCTACCAAACCTGCCTATCTTCAAGATTATGTTTGTTACACAGCCATCCCCACCTTTCCTGTAGATTCCAAGGTTACCTCTACTGAGATTCATATGCTTGAGCCTCAGTTTTACCATCAAGCAACATCTCATCCTGCCTGGCAGGATGCTACGGTTAAGGAATTCCAAGCTTTGGAGGCAAATCAAACTTGGACATTTTTCCATTGCCTCCAGGTAAGAAAGTTATACCATGCAAATGGGTATACAAGATCAAACAAAAGTCTGATGGTTCAATTGAGAGATACAAGGCAAGATTAGTGATTAGAGGTGATTCCAGAAAGAAGGCATAGATTATTTTGAAATATTTAGTCCAATTGTTAAGATCACAACTGTCAAGTGTCTTCTCACCTTAGCAGTCAAGCATGGTTGGGAAGTTCACCAATTGGATGTCAACAATGCTTTCCTACATGGGGATCTTCATGAGGAGGTATACATGAAAATACCTCTTGGGTTGACTGTGGGTCCTTCTTCTTCTGATCCTCCTTTAGCATGCAAGTTAAAGAAATCCCTTTATGGTTTGAAGCAGGCTTCTAGGCAATGGTTGTCGAGCCCCCTTTTTCTCACGAAATCGGGTTTATGACATTTGATTGGGACAACTCTTTCCTTTTGGGAAAGGGGTTTTGCAATTTTGAAGAGTCGCCACCTAACGATTTTAAGGTACGTTAGGGCACCTATGGGGTTCAACTACAACTATGTTTGATAACGAGAGATAGGGTAAGGGCTTGAAATTATCCCAAGGGAAAGGTGTTAGGCACCCCTCAGGATTCACTAGTGTGGTTCCCGGCCAGATGGTTTTGTGAATTTGTGCAATTAACAAGTAAACAAATAAGGCTCAAATAATAGAGGGTTTTGAATTTTAAATACACAAGTGTTTGAAAACAATAAAAGCAAGGTTTGAAAAAGAGTTATAATCTAAGCATACTTGTGAGTGTGAAAAGGTTCTAGGTTTGTTTGTAATATGGATCACATCAAAGCAATACCCAGTAATCACTCCTCAAAAGAGGGGCTACACGTGGTATTAGCGCACCGGTCATCATATCCATATCTACCCTTCCCACCCCGTGAAGGTATTAAAGCGCGGATTGATCTCGACCTCTATTGCGTGCTATTACCCGTCCCATTCCTATCAGTCCCAAAGGAATTTTAGGACTACTACTCCTACAAGAGGGAGGATTTTAGGCTGACTCTTGGGTTTAAAGGTAAAAAGGCTAAGGCGACATACAAAAACACATAGGACTGCATTTAAAGGGGAAACATGTAAGCAATTAGAAGGCTCATATAAACCTCCGCAAATGATGCATATAAATAGCACGACTTAAACACAATTAAGGTCTGAATTTTAAAAAAAATCTTAAAGCAAGGAATTTGAGTCAGACCCAGATTCATTATATAGCTCATATAAGAAGTCCGAATCAGGTTTGCCTGTTGGTTGTAGCAATTGATAATTAACAAAGGCGGTTCCAGTGTTTATTATTACCTAAGGCTTGCCTAGGTGTAATAATGATATCCTATAAGCATGATATCTATATTGATTAAGAAATGCAGTGGAGCAGTGATTAATTTTAAATAGGCAATTTGAGATCCTATTGGCATGCTTTGTAACGGTATTAAGGCAGTGTTTGAGAAACTTATTAAAGAAGCGGCAGAATTATTAACTAATCCAATTCAGAATAACAACATGAACTAGACGGCTTTTCCAACTAAACTGTTTTTAAATTCTATAGGCATGATTTCTATTGTAGCTATTTAGATCCTATAGGCATAGTATCTAAGTATGTGAAAGCTGACTTTGGACTTATAGGCATGATTTCTAAGGGAAACGAGTTTGGATATATGCTGTAACGAAAATTGAGCTTCAATTACTTTATATCCTATAGGCATGATATCTTATTGTGTGAAAATGAAGCATGCAGAATTTATTGTAAACAATAACAGATCATATAGGCATGTTTTCTAACGGACCATATTTGAAACAAAGTAGACCTATAGGCATGTTATCTGTTATTAAAGCCGTTTATATCCTATAGACATGATTTCTAGTTGTGTGAAAGTGAAGCATGCAGAATTTATTGTAAACAATAACAGATCCTATAGACATGTTTTCTAACGGACCATATTTGAGGCAAAGTAGACCTTATAGGCATGTTATCTACCCTTTTAATAGCTAAAACATGCATATTTCCCAACCCTTTTCACTAGTCAAACCCATAATGTTTACAAATTATTACAGCCCAAAATGATTACATTACAAAAGAAGTGTAGAAATAGGAAATTACAACCAAAGGAAGCCTGATCTTGACTTCCTATCTGAGTTATGTAATTAATCACTTCAATGCCAGTGTTTCAAAGCCTTTCTCATACCTGAGTGTGTCAAAGTTCCCTAAGGATCAGGGGATCCCGGGCAATGCTTACACCCAAGTTTACATAACCAAATAGAATGAGTGCAGTGTGGAAGGGCCAACCCTTATGTGTCCAAGATCAGAGGGAACTCAAGGGTCCCAAGGCAAGGCTCACACAAAAGGGGAAGAACCTAGATTCTAAGAGTATAGTGGAAGTGCAGAACATAGTTTGAAAGAGATTTATTAAAACTGGATTGGAAATAGTAAGTGGTAAAGGGTGATTTGAAAACAGTTGTAGTGAAACTCAAACTACAGAGAATCAGTAGTCATTCAAAGGGGCGAGGGATCGTGGGGATACATTGCATAACCCCAGCAGGGGTCTGGTTTGGTCATGCACAACAATAAGTGATGCTGGCATGGACACAAACCAT